CAGGTAATGAAATTAATAAACATGCGGTCTACGCAATCAAAACATACGGTCTACGCAATCAAACCATGCGGTCTACGCAGGTATTGAAATTAAACATGCGGTCTACGCAGGTATCGAAATTAAATATGCGGTCTACGCAATCAAAACATGCGGTCTACGCAGGTATTGGAATTAAGCATGCGGTCTACGCAATCAAAACATACGGTCTACGCAATCAAACCATGCGGTCTACGCAGGTATTGAAATTAAACATGCGGTCTACGCAGGTATCGAAATTAAATATGCGGTCTACGCAATCAAAACATGCGGTCTACGCAGGTATTGGAATTAAGCATGCGGTCTACGCAATCAAAACATACGGTCTACGCAATCAAACCATGCGGTCTACGCAGGTATTGAAATTAAACATGCGGTCTACGCAGGTATCGAAATTAAATATGCGGTCTACGCAATCAAAACATGCGGTCTACGCAGGTATTGGAATTAAGCATGCGGTCTACGCAATCAAAACATACGGTCTACGCAATCAAACCATGCGGTCTACGCAGGTATTGAAATTAAACATGCGGTCTACGCAGGTAATGAAATTAAAGAAGATGCGGTCTACGCAATCAAAGCATGCGGTCTACGCAGGTAATGAGATTAATAAATCATGCAGTCTACGCAATCAAAACATGCGGTCTACGCAGGTAATGAAATTAAAGAAGATGCAGTCTACGCAATCAAAGCATGCGGTCTCCGCAGGTAATGGAATTAAACATGCGGTCTACGCAATCAAAACATGCGGTCTACACAGGTAATGAAATTAAAGAAGATGCGGTCTACGCAATCAAAGCATGCGGTCTACGCAGGTAATGAGATTAATAAATCATGTGGTCTACGCAATCAAAACATGCGGTCTACGCAGGTAATGAAATTAAAGAAGATGCGGTCTACGCAATTAAAGCATGCGGTCTACGCAGGTAATGAGATTAATAAATCATGCGGACTACGCAATCAAAACATGCAGTCTACGCAGGTAATGAAATTAAAGAAGATGCGGTCTACGCAATCAAAGCATGCGGTCTACGCAGGTAATGGATTAAACATGCGGTTTACGCAAGCAAAACATGCGGTCTACGCAGGTAATGAAATTAAAGAAGATGCGGTCTACGCAATCAAAGCATGCGGTCTACACAGGTAATGAAATTAAGCATGCGGTCTACGCAATCAAAACATGCGGTCTACGCAAGTAATGAAATTAAACATGCGGACTATTCAAGTAAAGAAAGGATGTACCATTACATAGCATAATTGAAATAATTTGTGGAGTTCACAAAGCGTGAAAAGGATACGAGGCGGGGCATTCTTCGCACGCATCGAGGGTTGCTCGCAGAAGTTGTGGCCTGAGGTCAACTCGAAGGTTCACGTTTCAAAGGTGTGATTTCCCGTATTGTGAGGGCGTCCAACGACGTGGCTGACCTAAACAAAGATGCGGAAGGTGCGTTAACCGCAAGGGGAGTTTCACTGGTATCAATTCTGATACTTGGCTACCCTGTCATTCTACGTTTTATTTTCCTTTTTACTAGTAGCTCAAGCACATTGCACTGCCTCAGGCAGGTTTTATTTTCTTTCTTAAAATTCACACACTTTGCAAAACATGTGATGGGAATGAAACAAATCATTTTATTCAAAAGATGTTGCATTTGTGGATCTTCTGTGCATCGCATCGCAGGGTATCACACCACAATGTGAACGAAATTGAACTCATTTTGGAAATTTGCCATCGTAATAATCAGGTAGTGAACCGACTTACAACTCGATAAGCAAAACAAGGACATGGTGCAACCAAACAAGTGTGAATACAACTCGATGAACAAATCAAGAGCTCAAAGAAAGCAAAATACAACTCGATAAGCAAATGTTCAAAAAACTCGACAAGCAGACAGGCATGGCCCCGCAAGAGTCTATCGCCGGGGAGGGGTTGGAGGTGGTGAAGTTCCCCAATTCTTAGCATAAACAGCTCAGGAAACCAGAAGGAAGTCCACCGGCATGGTGTAGGGACCACCGGCTGCAAGGAATGGCTACCGGCCATGTGTCTGTTTTGTCGGCAAAATAAAATGGCCGGTCGGCAGAGTTTTTGGCCGGCCGGCACTAAATGAGGGGGACCACCAGAATGTTGACACCTGTCCCCCACTCAACCTTATCTCCTACAAAAGATCCCAGCCTCGTAGTTTTTCTCATTTTCACACTGATTCGCTCCAATGGAAGAGTTTCTTGCTCAAAATCTGACAGCTTGGATTGCTAGCTTGGATGGCTCGGAAAAGGTGAATTTCCGGGGTTTCGGCATAAATGCACTATTCACTCTGAGTCGCACCCCATTGCACCTCCCGTTTCTTCAAGCCGCGGCAAGGTTTTGGAATCCGGTGACACATGTCTTTAGCTTCGCCGGGCAAGAGATGTGTCCTACTTTCGAAGACTTCCGAGCCTTAATGGAGTCCGAGCGCGACGAGGAACTCCTGCCCCAACTTAATTTTGGTCGTGTCCAATCCTTAGGGCGCATGTGTGGGCACAGCATGCGTGATGCTCGGTCCCTGATTTGTGACGGGATGCTGGACATTCCGAGTTTGGCTAATTGATTTTCTGATGCTGGTGATCACAACAACCATCACTGGCAAGGCTTCCGGCGACATGCCCTCTGCTTGTGCATGCTATCCCATTTTCTATTTGTCTTGGGCTTTGGAGGGGCTAGCGTCCGGCTGATTGAGGTCGCCCAAGGCTTGAAGGAGGGCAAGAGCTGTATTGCCATGGCTCTGGCCGAGACGCTAATGGTCTTAGACGCCTTTTATCGTCATGAGACGTCTAGATTGGCGGGGAGTCCACTACTACTACAGGTAATGTTTCCCACCCAATTCTCGCATTTATGTATTGCTCACATCACTCGGCCCTCGAGCTCGGTCTTTTCTTACAAAAACCCCATTCTCACTCTTCTCTCGTCGTACATCTCTCTATTCTTTATTCTCTCATTTTTTTCAATCCCTCCCCAGGTATGGTTGATGGACAAACTACAGGTTGTGGACTCCTGCCCAGCATATTCAGCTCGCGGCTACTTCTTCCGGCATCGTCTAGTCAGTGCCTTGGATGAGGAATGGTGGTTCGCTTGGATGTGCCACCTGTCCGCAGACTGTATTGCTTGGCGGTGCCCTTGGCTGAACCTTCCAGCGATGAGTTATAACATGCCTCGGCAGACTGGGATTCAACTGGTTGGTCTCACTCACTGTGTATTATATTTCCCATTTCGGATTCGACGCCAATTTGGCCATGATCAGACCTGCCCGCCAGAGGGGATAGAGTATCCTGCTGATGAGTTACAATATGCCTCGGCATACTGGGATTCAACTGGTTGGTCTCACTCATTGTGTATTCTATTTCCCATTTCGGATTCGACGCCAATTTGGCCATGATCAGACCTGCCCGCCAGAGGGGATAGAGTATCCTGCTGCATTTCGAGCCCGAGGCGCGCAGCTTGCTTGGCAGGCCACTGCATGGAGGATGAGAGAACTCCTGGCCCCCGCTCCTACTTTTAGTTGCACTTTGTCTGACGAATGCATAGATTGGCTCAATGAAGAAGCACAGATCGGGCCCAGCTTGGCATTAGAGGCTTCGACCAGCTCTGGGAGGGGGCGCAGGAACACCTGACTTGACCATGCCCTAGATTTATTGCTTTATTAGTACTTTCAAGTTTTCTTTCATGAATGTAATAAAAAGCAACTTCAATTGTATGTAAGAGCAGGAGAACTCTGTTTTGAAATCAAAGAAATTGAAAGTTGTGGCACTGAAAATTTTCCACCTTGGTCAAAAAAATGGTCAAAGTTGTAAAAAGATTATTTGAACAAAGTCAGCTTATATTAAAACTTTTCAAAGATATTTTTGATGTGGATTAGAACTGGACACGCCTGAGATCTGTCACTCGAGATGCACAATCCCAGATTCCTGCAACTGGAAAGTTGCCCCTAGTTTGAATGGCACTGCACCGGAGATTCCAACGAATGCTGATGAACAAAGATGGCTGAGATGATCAAATGGACAAAGTTGATCGGGGAAGTGTTATGGCTGAACTTCAGGATGAAGTTGCCTACGTATCCCAAAGATGGGAATCAAGCCTTACGTAGTTCAGGCCTGGAGAGGGGTGTCCCTCCCCTATGCAAGACTTCAAACCAACTTTTTAAACACCAAAAATGAACTAGTTTTTAGTGATGAAAAGATCAAAATGCTGAAGTGAACAAAACTTTATCAAAAGGGTACCAAAATGGCAAGCATACTTTTATGGCAACATTCACACGCATGTTGGATGCTAAAGCATAACCACTTACATTGTACTCCGTGCCAAAACAATAAACTAGTTAGCAAATGTGCGTGTCCTAGTTCATGTTATTTTGCCTAATGCAACACATACAAGATGCAAT